TTTTTTTGCATGTAGCTTCCCAGTTTTCCCAGCACCACTTGCTGAACAAATTTTCTTTGTTCCATTGTACCTTCTTTGCTCCTTTGTCAAAAGTTAGGTGTCCATAAGCTTGTGGGTTTATATCGAGAACTGAGGGACTTTTTAAGCAAACGCGTTTTCTGTGTACTTACTGGCCCATGAAGTTGTCTTTCATTGAATGCCAGGTCCACACACAAGTTTGAGGTTTTTTTGAGTGTGTGTGTGTTTAGGTTTTTGATATAAATAGTGGAATTAGTGGAAACAGAACGAAATGACCTAGTAACCAAGCTTGTGCCATTGAGTCATTGGGATTGAATTGAGTAAGTTCTCTCTCAAGCTGAGATCGTAGCCCTTCTGTCTTCAAAGGCCAAAAGAGGACTGAACATAAGGAACTAGAAGCCAAGAAGTTGTCAGAAGACTCTCTGGAGGACACTGGCGGCGGTGGGGGTGGGGTCCTGGTGCCTGTGCTCACGTTCGTGCTGAGGCCTCTGGTTCTGTGGCCCCTGGGAGCACTCTGCCAGGCCGGCCTGGAAGGATGGCCGGGGAGTGGCCCTGTACCTCTGGGCCACATACAATGCTGTAAACTAGTGCTACGCTAAAAAAAATAAATAATAAATAAAATTATAAACCACTTAAAGGAAAAGGAAACAGCCCAGAGAAAGATAAGATATATCCAGGGGACAAGTCAGAGGAAGTCAGAGGTTCTCAGTGAAGACCAGAGCTGTGGCTGCAGGAGTGCTAAAGGCAAGAATTGAAGTTTTTATAGACATTTAGAAATAGGGCATTTAGGAAATAAAATACACTGCGTTTGGCAACCGAGTGGCCATAAGGAAAAAGGAGGAAAGACCCCTAACGTGATTGCTGAAGTTTCTGCTTCGGGGACACAGTAGATGGTGTTATCACACCCTGGAGGCGACTTGCACAGCTTGGAGGGGGGCAGTGGATATTAGGCTTGAGGTACCCCGCGGAGCATTTGGGTGGAGGTCCAGTCAGTGGCTGGATCTCACTTTACAAGGAAACACTTTTTTGGGCCAGAGAATTAAAAATGCGATTGGAGAGGGCCCTCCCTGGTGGCGCAGCGGGTTAAAGCACAGCACTGAGAAGCTAAAGCCACTTCCTGCACGAGTTCGATCCCCGCCTGCCCCGGGTGACCACATGGCAAGGCAGACCTCTCCTGACCCGCCCGCTGCTCCCCTCAGCAGTGTACTTTGTCGATCTGCCTGTTCTGCTCCCCACTCTGTCTCTGGTGAATCCTCTCACCCTCCGCATCTCTGGCCTGTACCCCAGTTCTGTATGCGCAAATAAAAAAATCTTTTAAAAAAAAATACGATTGGAGAAATGAAAAGATGAAAAGGAGTATAGAGTGGTTTCGTGATGCTGTTCATCTGGGCCATGCACACAGTAGGTTCTTTATTTGGCAAACAGAGTGTCTCTGTTGATTGCAAGTTTTTCTGGGTACGTGTGATTTAGAACAGGGAATTTTTATAGAATTAAAAAGAACCTTTCAACCATTATTGTTTTTTAGATACATTGGTTTACAGCGTGTATATGATTTAGAGATGTAAGCGCACACCCCTGCAGACCACGATCCCCCACCATAGCCACCGTCAAGCCCAGAATTCTCTACAGTAGTCCATGTGCCACCCCCACCCCGCCCCCACTACTCTCCCCCTCTCCCCATTTCCTCCTTCCCTAAGAGCCTCGGTCATTTCTAGGACTTGTTGTTGGTTTGGTTTTATCTGGCCCTTTGGTCGGTTTCTCTGTATTCTACATGTAAGTGACACCATCCAGTATTTGTCTCTTTCCTTTTGAAGGTAATTTTTATCTAGGTAAAAATGATACTGAAACATTTCCAGAAGGAGCTAACCGGCATTCTTGTCAATCTAGTCAAAGAAGAGAGTGTACACTCTTACCTGATAACAATCTTTCAAATTCTGTCAGTTTCCAGAAATAGAGAAAGTATTTGAATGCTCAGCAGTCTGTTACACCGTGTGAAACTAATGCAAAGTTCTGTTTTATTGCAACAGAATTCGATTGGCCCGTTTAGCTGGCCACAATGTAATGCTGATCTGAGAAACCTGGAAATATGTAGTAGTGAGTTGGAACAGAGAAACCTCAAAGATGAAGCATGGCCCTTTTTATTCAGATGAACATCAGAACAGGTTATCCGACAAGTTTCTTAAACACAGCTTCCACGCTTAGTGAGGATACAAAGTTGATGAGCAAAACAGGTTTTGATTAAAAATTGGGGAGAAAGAAAAGGCTATTGATTTTTTCATGTTTCTTTAAATGTAGTAGCACTGCTTTTAAAACCTTTTAAAGCCTTTGTTTCTTTCTGCCTGGTTTTTTTTTTTTTTTTTTTTAAGTTTCTTTGGCTACCCAATCAGACATACCATCCAACTAAGTTTTCCGAGGTCCCCCTGGTTGTGCTGGTTATGGCCTCAGGATCAGCTCCTGCCCCAGAACACCTGCTCTCAAGCATAGGCGAGGTCCGATTCTCTTAGTCACTCCTGCAACACTGAGCTGCTAGGCCAGGTAGACGTGCTAGCTCTTCACGCAGGTCTCTGTAGAGATCCAACATGGGAATGACTTGTTAGGCTCTTCAGGGGCCCTCATAAAGTTTTCCATATAAATCAATAGTAATAACATTCCCAGGCCCCCAAAATAACCCGCCAAGACTTGGGTGCGAGCTGCGTGGATAGCAGCGCAGCCTGCAGCTGGACTGTGGGCGTGAGGCATGACGAGCCAGCTACGAACGGCGGGGAAACTCGGCGCCCGGCGGTTGCCTCTCGTGCCCATGCTGAGTGACTAGTGCCTCACATCATTTCTAGCTCTTGCCATTTATAGTTCACTGAAAAACAAGCTGCTTGTCAAGGCAGTTCTTTATTTTAAAAGTAAATTAATCTTGCGTCTCGTGAATCTAATCTAGGCTCCGTTTACCATAAAGTTAACTGTCTTGACTTTTATTAAGATAAAGTTGCCAAAGTGAATTCCAGAGCTTTCCCCTTGCACTCATTTGTAGTTTTCTACATTTGGCGATAAAATCCTGGTATTTCATTCTCCATATTGATCTTAAACCAAACACCCTGAGAACTGCAATGTTACAAGCCTCGCTGCCCAGGCGTGTCTGGGAGGCTCGTTTCTGGGAGGCATTTTAAGCCAGGTAGCCCCTCAGTGATCGTGTGTGTTGTTTCGCACCATCATCATGACACAGGCTCCTCTTTTAAGAAAAGCAGCCTGGAGAAAGGTCGTGGACTCACGGGGCTTAAATGCAGGTTCTTTTCGTGGACAAGTTACTAAAGGTGACGAGGTGAATGGCGCAGCCAGTGCAACCTGCTTCTTCTGTGAATTAGGCTGTCACTTGTATGAGACTGTCAGCTGTCTGAGGCTGTCACCTGTATGAGACTGTCACCTGTATGTTTCAGGCGCTACGTGAGGACTTCTAATAATGACTCCAAAGTGCTGGTAAAGTATCTGGCAAATTGAACATTTAGTAAGTGGCAGTGTCATTTAAAAACACTGTGCTGAGGGCCTCTCCTCTGGACGCCAGCTGATGGCTCCAAAGGAACTGCTCTGGGACCAGGGCCTTTCGGGCCGGGTGCGCTCTGTGCGCGCTCAAGCCTGAAGCCTGGCTCGTCTGCTCCCACACCGTTGGTCTCTCTACTGACGGCCTTGTCTTTTTTCTCTTTCCGCAGGAAAACGGGCCTTACTATACCTCCTACCCTCCATCGCCAGATTTGTGACCTGCCATCTCTCAGAGCTGCTGGCTTCCAAGGATGCCGCCGTCTCCACAGATCGCGGCCTGCTGAAGTGACGCTCACTCTGCTGTACAGACCCAGAGAGCCTTTTATCCCCACCTCTCTGGTATTTTTTTATTGACTGTATATTTTCTGGCACATCAGCAATCCGAACATGGTGGGCCATTCCGAACTGCACACTGACTTTACATTTGTATATTTGTATCAAATGGAAATGTTCCTTTTTAAGTGGGTTGTTAATAGACACTAGGGAGCAACTTCTGAGCGTCTTCGGTTTCCGGAAAGGACACTGGGCTCTCCTGAGACAAGCCACCGATACCGTCACTCCGTCCCTTCAGCAATGCACGCGTCTGTGGTTTATTTCTTCAAAATGTACAGACCCCGTGGATGCTGCCCCGGGCTTTGCTCCTGCGGACCCCAGCGTTACGTCTGTTCAGACCATTCGGGCTGATA